CGCTCTTCCTCTCTCCTACTGCTTCCAGGACAAAGAGAAGTCCCTGTCGGATCAGAGGCGCTACTCCCTCATTGAGCCGTCCTCGTGCTCGTCACCGGAGCTCCTGCGGCTGCAGCACCAGCTGATGAGCACAGAGGATGCCCTGCGGGACGCGCTGGACCAGGCTCAGCAGGTGGAGAGGCTCATGGAGGCTATGAGGGGCTGCCCCGATAAGTCCCAGGTGAGCTGGGTCTCAGCCAGGTCCTGAGGGGAGAGACTCCGCCCTGCGCCCTGGGAGTCCCAGCCCAAGGGGTATATGGCTTTATCCTGAGGAGCTCAGACTAAGGGTGGAGATGCCCTGACAGCCTGTGTTTCCTGGGGTGTGTCCTGGGACCCCTATTCTGATGGGTTCTGCTCAGAGTTTGGATCCTGAGATAGTCCTGTTGGGAAAACCTCACCATCTAGTGGACAATCCAGGAAATGCTGCCTGGTGAACCTTGCTCAGCATCTTGACCTCGACTCTTACAGGCCACCAGCAATTCCGGTTCTGCAAATGGCATCCACCAGCAAGACAAGGCCCACAAACAAGAGGTAAGGGGCACCCTGGCCCCGGAGAGATGCTCTGCCACTCCCACGGCCCTCCCGTACAGGCCGACTTCTCTGGAGAAAAACTTTGAAAAGCCATCAAAAATACACAGATACATGGTGCAAGAGGCTTTACAATAGGGTCGCTCACAGAGTGGGGCCAATGTAGTCAAACTTGATTCAATTACCATCCTGCTCTTTTAACCTTGTTTCTCTTTCAAAAAAAAAAAAAAAAAAAGAAAACCTTTTATTATAAAGTAATACATGCCTACTGGGCAACTTTTGGGGAAAAAAGTTAAAAATATATAAAGAAGAAAATACTGGGAATTCCCTGGCGGTCCAGTGGTTAGGACTCCATGCTTTCACTGCCATGGGCCTGGGTTCAATCCCTGCTTGGGGAACTGAGATCCCACAAGACACGCAGCGAAGCCAAAAAAAAAAATACTTACCAGTAGCCCTTCTACCCAGAGATGACCAAGGTTAACATTTTTAAGTGCTATCCTTCCTGAACTTTGCTAAGCATGTACATGTGTGTATGTGTATGGATGTACAGTCAATCCTCACTATTCCGTATTTGCAGACTTACCTACTTGGTAACATTTATTTGTAACCCCAAAATCAATACTCATAGCACTTTCCTGGTCATTCGTGGACACCCGTGCAGAGTGGAGAAAAAATTTAATCACCGAGAACATGCATGTTCCCAGCTGAGCTCATACAAAACACCATGCTGGGGCTTCCCTGGTGGCACAGTGGTTGAGAGCCTGCCTGCCAATGCAGGGGACGCGGGTTCGTGCCCCGGTCCTTCGTGCCCCACTCTGGGAAGATCCCACATGCCGCAGAACATCTGGGCCTGTGAGCCGTGGCCGCTGAGCCTGCGCGTCCGGAGCCTGTGCTCCGCAACGGGAGAGGCCCGCATACCGCAAAACAAACAAAAAAAACAACAACAACAACAACAACAAAAAAACACCGTGCTGCCTTCTTGTTTAGCGCATTCTGCAAACAAGTGTCCTTTTCACGGTCTATTTGGTGACGTGTTTTTCACATTTTCATGCTTTTTTCTTGATGATTTCCGCCGTTTAAAATGGTCCCCAAGTGTCTTGCTGAAGAGCTGTCTAGTGTTCCTAAGTGCAAGAAGGCTGTGATGTGCCTTCCAGAAAGTACTTTAGAGAAGCTTCAATCAGGCATGAGTTACGGTGCTGCTGTCCTTGAGTTCATTATTAATGAGTCAACAATATATATTCAGTGAGGTGTCTTTAAACAGAAGCACACATGAAACATGGTTACATATTGATCAATCAACGAAAATGTCAGACCAGAGGTTCGCAGGAACTTTGTATTCCCCCTGGGAGCGATGGTTCAGTATTTGCTGATTCCGCATCCGTGTGATTCTGTAGAACAGAACTCCTGCAAATAGCGAGAATTGTTATGTGTGTATGTATATGTCTGCAGATGTGTGTACACATTAACTTAAAAAAAATCTATTGAAGTGTGGTTGACACTTAGACATTAACTTTTTATTTGGAAATAATTTCAAGCTGACAAAAAAGTGGCAAGAATAAAAATAGCACCTAGAGCATCAGCTCTCCTTTTCCCCAACATAACATGTTGTTAATCTTTTGCCCCATTTGCTTTATCTTTTGTTCTCTATGTGTAGATGTGTGTGTTATATGCATGGAATATTTTTCTGAACCATTTGAGTATAATTGCATGTGTCATGGTCCTTAATACTTCAGTCCGTATTCCTGAGAAAAAGGACGTGATTTTACATAAACACAGTACAGTTAACAATCTCAGGGACTTCCCTGGTGGCGCAGTGGTTAAGACTCCACGCTCCCAATGCAGGGGGCCTGGGTTTGATCCCTGGTCAGGGAACTAGATCCCACATGCATGCCACAACTAAGAGTTTGCGTGCCACAACTAAGGAGCTGGTGAGCCGCAACTAAGGAGCCTGCCTGCCACAACTAAGGAGTCCATGTGCCGCAACTAAGGAGCCCGCCTGCCGCAACTAAAAGGAGCCCGCTTGCCACAACTAAGGAGCCGAGAGCTACAACTAAGGATCCCGCCTGCCACAACTAAGACCCTGCACAACCAAATAAATATTTTTTAAAAATTAAAAAAAAAAATTTCAGCAAATGTAATGCTGATACGAGATTTATATCCAATCACTCTCCATACCCAATTTCTTCAGTTGACCCGGGAGTGTCTTCAAAGCTCTTTCCCCCTCAGTACAGGATCCAGTCTGAGTCAGCTCATTGCATTTACTTGTTATGTCTCTTTAGTCTGCTTGCATCTAGAACATTTCCTCAGCTTCACTTTGACTTTTATGACATTGATATTATTTATTTATTTATTTATTTATTGGCTGCGTTGGGTCTTCGTTGCTGCACGCAAGCCTTCTCTAGTTGCAGTGAGCGGGGGCTACTCTTCGTTGCGGTGCTCAGGCTTCTCATTGCGGTGGCTTCTCTTGTTGCGGAGCACGGGCTCTAGGCGCAGAGGCTCAGTAGTTGTGGCTCGCGGGCTCTAGAGCGCAGCATCAGTAGTTGTGGTGCACAGGCTTAGTTGCTCCGCGGCATGTGGGATCTTCCCAGACCAGGGCTCAAACCCGTGTCCCCTGCATTGGCAGGCGGAATATTAACCACTGCGCCACCAGGGAAGTCCTGACATTGACGTTTTTGAAATACAGTCCTCCCTCCTTTTTTAATAGAAGATTCCTCCTTTGGGGTTTGTCCGATGGCTCCTGCTGCTCAGAGCCAGGTTCTACAACTGAGGCTGGAATACACAGTCAGTGCCACATTCTCCTCCGGGCATCACGACTGCGGTGTGTGATGTCCATCTGCCCTTCATTCCTGAGTGAATCTTGATCACCTGGTCAAGGTGTTGTCTGATTCCTCCGCTGTATAGTTGCTGGTTATTTCCTAACGAGCATTTGGTGGAGACCCTGGAAGACCTTGTGAATCCTCTGTTCCTCACCCAGATGACCCCTGGATTCATCATCCATTCATGAGTCTTGCCTGAGCCGGTCTTTACTGTGATGGTTGCAAAGTAACATATAAATTACTGTACTGTATTGTATTATTATTATTTTTTTGGACACGCCACGCAGCTTGTGGGATCTTAGTTCCTCCACCAGGGATCAAACCTGGGCCCCCTGCAGTGGAAGCGCGGAGCCCTAACAACTGGACCGCCAGGGAATTCCCTGAATTATTTTAATGGAGTAGGTAGTGTGCTCTATATTCAATTTCACCTCTTGGTTTTTTTCACTGAATATTTTCTCTCTTCCTTAAGCAGTCTTTGTAAAGTCTATGTTTTATAAAATTGTGGGTGGAAAATTTGTTTCCTAAAACTTCATGGGCCTGACTCCCTTGCTGGGAATGTCTTTGCTGTGTTGTGTTTTAAGCGGGTGCCTGGTGGCCTCCACCCCACAGTTAGCCACTGGCATTCACCCACAGTGTTAGAGAGCCCACCTGGGGCCCAGGTGCTAGCCCGATTAGGCTCTGTCCCTAGCTCACTGTGTGACCTTTGGGCCAGTGAGGCTGGAGCACAGGAAGGAAGGCTTGTCCTTCCAACTTGGCCAGTGGGACCACGGCCGCAGGCGCTCATGTAGAGACAGGAGAACCTTGGCCACAGCATCTGCCAAGGGCCTGGCCATGTGAGTGAGAAGCAGAGAGAGAGATGGGCACGGGGGGGAGGGGACCCTGCACAGGACCTGAGAGCAGGGTGGAGGCACGGAGCTGTAGTGGGATGTGGTGGGGTTGTGTCTGCAGAGGAGCTGCCTGTACCAGGCACCCTGGGAGTTGATGTCCAGACCTTGTGCGGCTTTGTCCTGCAAGGCACACGGGGGTCATCCTGGTTTACAGACGCGAAAACTGAGGCTTGGAGTCTCAGCACCAGTTTTCCTTTCCTCGGATCCAGCCTCCGTGCAGGCCCTCAGAGCTGTCTGTAAAACCCACCTGCTCTCGCCTCTTCCCCTCAATTCTCATAAACTGCTCCCACCCTGCCTCCTGTCTCACCATGCCCCAAACACACAGCGAAGAGACTGCTCCTGCCTCAGGGCCTTTGCACATGCTATTCCCTTTACCTGGCCCAGGTGGGTCTCCTCCCCCAGCCCCACCCCACCCCCTCTGCCGCTTGTCCCTATGCCCACTGAGACACTTGCTGACCAAGCCCATTCTCTCTCCAGGACAAGCACTGACCCTGAGGGACACTGTGGAGCTGCCCGGTCCACACCAGAGCCCCTCCAGCCTGCCCCAGCGGCGCCACCTCCAGGCAGGGGCTAGGACTGTCGCTTTGGAGAAGAGAACAGTGTAACAATAACGTACCCACCGCCGTGGACAATCCCCCACCCCGACCCCCCTGCCGGACCAGGAGGCTTCCTCAAGCGCGACCTTCCACAGAAGGCGGTACAGCCCCAGCCTGGCCCCGGGACCTTGAGCCTGGACGCCCTGGACACCCTGGACACCCCGGCGGTTTCTGGAGTTGGTTTGGCGAGGCCGAGGTGATCTGGCCAGGCCCCCTCCCCAGAAGGAGCTGCCCTGAGGACCATCGTGGCCCTCTGGGCACGTCCCTGCCCTCCCTTTCTTCTCCTGGGTTCCTCTCAGACCCCAGAGCCATTGTCCTGGGAAGGGGCCAGAGGAGGGCTCCAGCTTCTCCTTCAGGCACCAAGGAGGGAAGTCCAGCCCTTAGGAGCCAGGTGGGGGACCCCCTTTTCTGTTGCTGCTTCCAGGCCAAGGCAGTCCCCAGGGCTTCTTGTCTCCGCATACTGAGCCTCTTTCATGCAGTGGTACAAGCTCCAGCCCGTCTGCCCAGTGAGGCTCCAGGTTCAAAGTGCTTGGGAGGCAAGGCCCTTCGTTCCCACCCTGACCCCAACGCACACACAGCTCCGAGCTGCTGGCCGGAGGGTAGTCACCAAGGCCGGGAGCCACAGTATTAGGAAAGTCTGGAAGCCCCTCTCCTTCCTGCACCCCCTACCCCCAGTGACCTGGCTTGGAGCTGGGGCAGGGCAGCCCCAGGGGGGCCCAGGACTAGGGCTCTCGGTATGTTTTGACTGGTCAGTAATATGCTGTCCCCTGGGTTGACTTGATGTTCCAAAACCGGGCCTGCCACCTGCAGATTCACCCATGCAGACCCCGACACATACACCCACTGACCCTTGGCACACACACACTCAGAGGGGTCATGCGTGCACACGTGCCATGTAGGTGGGACTTTTGCAGTCAGCCACACTCAGACCATGTGGACACTCACCCTCGGGTTCCAGGACCAAGCCCCAGGCCTGGCAGGGCCGTGACCACACACGTTGCAAATGCTCCTGCAACCTCACCGTGCACATACACAGCCAGGTACACATGGGTGAGCCTTCAGGGGGGCGTGGCCACACACGGACAGGAACACACAACCCAACAGCCCCCTTTCAGTGGTACAAGGCATTTGCCTTGGGCTTGTTAAGCCCTGTCTTCTGTAGCCAAGAAAAGAGCCCAAGGATGATTGGGACAAGAAAAATCTCCCTGCCTCCCCTGCTTCCCCTCAAGCCCTGCCAAGTTACTCCAGCCCCATGCGTGGTGGGAAAAGACAGCGTCTGCCCAAAGCCCCCACTTTTAGAGCTGGAGGGCCCACGGGTGACTGTCTTGTACCCTGCAGCGTCTCTGTGGAGGGCCTGCCCCTCCTCCCCCAGCTCAGGGAGAGTGCTCACAGGGGCCTCTCCCACTAGGGGCTAGAGGGGGGGGGGGG